CTGCATGGAGCACTGGGTGTTATGAACAAACAATGAATCATGGAACACTGCACCAAAAACTAATGATGTAATATATGGTGATTAACATAACAATAAAAAATAAAAAAATTAAAAAATAAAATTAAAAAAAAACTAAATAAATAAAAAGTACTTTTCAAACTGAATCCAGCAATATCTAAAAAGGAAAGCACACCATGACCAAGCTGAGTCTATACCAGCTTTACTGTGAAGCGTGAAACGAGATCACACTGGGGTGAAGGGGAACCTACAGGGGTACACAAGTGTACCCCATAACACAGCGAGTCCACTCCTAAGCACATGTCCTCAAGAAATGGGTACCCTGGGCCCCAAAAGCACAGTGTGTTCACAGCAGGATGATTCAGAGGGACCAACTGAAAGACCCCTGAGGATCCAAGACAAACCAATGGATAAATAAAGTATGCCATCTGCACTCCACAGACATGCTGACAGCAAAGGAGAGGGTGGGCTTGCTGCTCCGAGACCACCTGGCTGGGTCTCACGAGCACCAAGTGAATGGAGAAAGCCAGACCCACGAGTCCTGCTGTGGGATCCCCCAAGTGTAGGATCACAGCTGCCTGAGGAGAACCAGAAGGGGAGCTTCTGGTAACATCTATGTGCCTGCTGTGGTCACACGGGTGTGTCCACTTCGTAGTAATTCATCAGGCACCACACATAAGATCTGTGCATCTCTCTCTACGCGTGCCAGGTGTCAACAGGACAGGCTTATTTAAAAACCACCGTTTATGTGGACACAGGTGCAGTCGGGGATACAGATCTTTTTTACCAATATTAAGATGTGAAAAATAACTGATTTCTGTGTTACAGCTGTGATACTCTGAGCCCCTAGTACACATATTTGATATAGAACTGACCTAGGAACAACATGGACTTGAACTTCGAAGGTCCACTGATAAGCATATTTTTCCCGATAAATATGGTACAGTACTGTAAGTGTACTTTCTCTTCCTTATCATTTTCTTTAATGTTTCCTTTCCTCCACCTTACTTTACTGTAAGAATACAATATATGAAAAATACAACATACAAATATGTGTTCATCAACTGCATATGTTATTGGAAAGACTTGCAGTCAACAGTAGGCTATTAGTAGTTAGGATTTCAGGGAATCAAAAGTTATGCACAGATTTTCAACTGTGTAGGGGTTTGGCATCCCTAACCCCTGAGTTGTTCAAGGGTCTACTGTACTTTGAGGCATACAACTGGATTCAGCAACACTGGAAATCCCTTCCATTATTAAGTGAGTTTTATTCCAGAGTCCCCTCCCTGCGGTGAGCCACCCACCCCAGCAACCACATGCTCTCCCTGTCCAGCGTGGCAGCGTCCCAGCTCTTGGCTCCTGAACGGGTAAGCACCCGTGGCTCAGTGACCAAACATCCCTGTGCTAAGGCCACCCTTACCTGATCTCCCCGGCCCTGTGGTCTGGGAAACACTCATGGAAAAGCTTCAGTGCCTGCATCACGGCCGAGGTGCACTCCACATATGTGTAGTCAATCATGATGTCCCCTGAGAGAGGGAAGGAAGGATCAATGCATATATGAGTTTCATCTTGTCACCCAATTTGGCAACTCACGCCAAACCATGAAGAATGAGAGCGCCATAACATGCAGAGCCTACACGGGACAGCAAGAGCCTGATCATCCTCCAGAGGAAACAAGGAAAGAGTTCCCAGTGACTGGTCCAGGAGACATGGCCACCAGGTGGGAGGGTGGCCGGCACCTACACAGTGACCTGGAGACCCATATCTGGCTGTAGGACATTTGGGCCAGTGGGAGAGTGAAGGAGAGGTACAGGGCAGAGCCACACCCCAGCCCAACTAGACCACATTTAACAGTTACAGAAGTCAGACAGAGACCGGGAAACAGGGGTCCAGGGGCATGCGAGGGCAGCACTCAGGGAAAGAAGCCACCCTGGCAGACTAGAACGACCGGACACAGCAGGGAGGACACAGGGCCAGTGGGTCCCCACCGACACCTCCCTGCAATGTGCCTGGGCTCTGTGAAGAGCACCCAGCACACAGGATGGTCTCCACAGAGGATAGAGCACACAGCAAGAGCCAGCCCAGGCTCAAGCCAGAGAGCCAGGTGTGAATCCCACCAACTCCTCCACCAACCTCTGAGAAACAAAACCACAGCTCTTCCATCCACACCCACAGGCACTATGGCCACCTTCAGAGGTAAGAAGCACAGAATACTCCAAGGCTTAGGGGTGCTCCTTAAAGGGTCCACAATCATTTGCAGCACCTTTGCTGGCACTGCTCCTGGCCTGGGGAAACAACTCAGGGCTCTGGTTGGCAAATCCATCTCACAGCAGGGGTCCCTGGGTTTGTGTACCACCTGGCTGGCCAACCACTCACCGAAGACCTCCGAGGGGTTCAGCAGCTCCAGCAAGTGCCCCCCACGCTTAGTCTCATAGGTGGCAAACCCGCCATCAGAATTTCTCATGTTCAGCAACTAAAACCAGAGAGAGGACATCCTGAGAGTTCACCCATGCACTTGAGCATGAGGGGGAAGCCCACAAGCTGTAGTGGACCTTTCTAGAAACACCCAAGGCTAAGACCCATGGGGCAGGGATAGGGAACAGGGAGCCAGTTCTCACATTAAACCGAGACCCTCAGTGCCTAGAGCAGTGGGCAACAACTTTATCAAGCAGGTGCTCCACAAGTGACCATCTGGGACCCTGGCATGCACTTGCCTATCCATTTATAAATCACATGTATACTGCCAAGCTATACGATCTCCGTTGTAAAATATGCACAGAAACTGGGTGTCCTGAAAGGATTCTGTACAAACACAAACAGAAGTTCTCGTTTTCTCTTCAGATACCCAGTGGAGAATGCCAGCCCTCCCTGGCGAGTAGCCAGATCCACGAGCCTCTAGCACAGGACTCTTGGCTTTCCCCAAACACAGATACCACCAGAGGATAAGCCCCTCTGGGCTTGCAGTCTGACCCTGGGGGTTTGCAGAGACCAAAGCCGTGGGAAGCGCAGCTCACATGCGGTGCTAAGTGGACCTGAGGGTGTGTTGTGGGGAAGTCCGGGGTTCCGTCGTGCACAGTGCCCCGTGACCAGAGCCCCCTGCCCAGAACCTCACCACAGCAACAGCATCATAGAGCCGCTCTCGTGTGACGGGCTTGGTGACAAAGGGACACTTTTCCTGCAGGAGAAGGATGGACTTCAAGGCCTCAGCTGTGCAGTCGGCAACAATCCAGCCACAGTCCAGTGTGCTAAAGGGAAAGCCACCCTGCAAAGCGTGGGGCCTGTCATGGCCAGTGTGAAGGGCTGAGCCCGCACCCTGGTCGTCAGGACCTCCCAAGGTGAGAGCACCCTTCCTCACCAGTGCGGAGGCCTGGCCACCATAAAGGCGCGGCTGCAGTTCCACACCACACGCACGTGGACGGGCCTCCCGACCCACTGTGAGAAGGCGCACACACACAGTCCCACACACCCAGAGGAGCTGCCCTACACCCTCTGCAGCATCCCCGTCACCCTAACCCATGTTCCGACGAAACACGGTCTCTGCTCTCTGCACGTACTGCCGTCTAAAAGCACCTCTGACACACCGGTGTGTGTGTGTGTGTGTATAGTACCTGACGTGGCAGCATGAGGAAGCCCCATATGGCTCAGCCATCTCACATATACATTTCCCCAGCCAGGAAAACCTCGGATGCATTGCTGGAACACCACGCTGTGTGTCTATCGGAGCAGGAAGCCCCAGGAAGCCGAGGGAAGAGCCCACTTAAAGGGCAAAGCATAGCCAACCAGGGCACAGGACTCAGGGCAAACAGGGTTGGCTGTGGTACCTTGCTCATCTGGCGGTAGTACTTCTGGTAGTCAGGGGGGCTGTCTGGGACCTGGGCAGCATCCAAGAGGCACATGTGGAAGCAGAGGAGGTCCCACGTCACCGCCAGTTGCAGACACCGGGGCCGGCAGGGTCTGGTGCAGAATATGCAGGGACCCGCAGCCGCTGCCCTACGGCCCTCTCAACCATCGGAACCAAAGGCACCCTTCAAGGCATCACCCCTGTGGCCTATGACCCACAACCCCCATCCACTGCTGGAGAAACATGACCAGGCACTATCCTAAGGTGGAGAGGGCAGGGAGGGGTGCCAAGGCAGAGGTGAGGAGGTGCACCCCTGCCTGTGGGAAGCCCCAGCAGCCCAAGGCACAGGCAGATTTTGCCTCACCTGTGAGATCCGGAGAAACTCATGTGCCTCCTGCAGGGAAGATGAAAACTCAGGCCTGTGTTGTGCCCCTGCCTGGAAGAGACAACAGAGGCTGAGCCGCTCACTGGCACAAGCCTGCACAGGTGAACTGGTTCCCAAACAATCCTGGTGATGTCTTGCCACCACTGGGAAACAGGAGCAAACCCACCCAAGTCTCGGGCTCTTCCGTTTCTGCTGACAAGTCAGAAGGATGTGATGGAGAAATGAAGGAGACAGAAAAGAGAGTCCACACCACACCCAGCCCAGCCCGGCCCGTGTCCAGAGGACCCCCAGCCCCATCGAAGGCAGACCCCCATGTGGCCCAGACCCCTTCTCAAGGCTCTCCAGAATGTCACCACCCTGAATCCCACCAGCACAAAAACACCTTCTGGTTTCTCTCCAGCATGTGCTCAGAGGTATCCATGATGAGCAGTCTGAGTGTTATGAAAAGCCTAGAGCCCACTCCCCCTGCTAGAAGCTTCCTGCCCTGTCTCCACAGGAACAGATCTTACAAGGCTCCCTGCTCCTGAAGCCTCCCAGCTGGCTTACTACCCAAAGCTGCTGGGCAAGACCACTGCCTCAGTGGGACCATCACCAGAGGCCTTGGAGCCCAGGTGAGCCAAGAGTCAGGGTCTGCAACTGCCATGTCCACACTGGAAGCAGCAGTGGACACGCGGGAAGGTCAACTAGAGGCTGAAGAACACGGAGGCAGAGCCACGTACCTCTAGCAGAGCCTGGATGGCAAATGAGGTGTCCCACACCTGCGAGCCGTTGGTGCCCTGCACGCAAGCACGAGCCGTTAGAGGAGCGCAGCTCCCCCGACCCACCCACCATCGCCCAGGATCTGACAGGCACCTGGGGAGCCGAGGAGGAATCTGGGGGCTCCCAACAGCTCCTGCAAAGAGGTGGGAGCCCAGCCAACTCCCGACCCCAGGCCCCATGCTCTGGCACCCCGCAAAGCCCATGAGGGCCGGAGAGGGGCTGTTCCTGCAGGCAGGTGAGGGTTGGGCAGTCCCAACCGCCTTCACCAGGCCACTGGCCAGGACAGAACCCTCTCGGGGCACTTCCAGGATCTGGACGACCACTGCCTGTGATGCTCTTGCCTTTGACCAGAAACACCCCCTCATATCTGAGTATGCCTGGAGGTGGTGGCACCTGATTGAGGCCTCAAAAGAGCTGGGAAGGCCCCCTTCAAATCCCACCCTAGGAGCCTAGTTCACCAGTCAACACTCTGGTCCCACGAGAATGCCAGTGGCCAAATCACACTGAAACAGAGACAGGGACACTCAGATAATAGGGCTGGCAACAGCAGGGCCCGACTGACAGCCCTGAGGGGGCATCAGAAACCGTGGCCCCGCAGGACAATACATAGGAAGGACACCTGTCACCAAGAAAGCCTTCTGGCCAAAAGAACCCAGTTCAGGATCAAGCCTCAGAGTCTAACCTCCAACTGCAGGAAATAGAGGGCACAGAGGAAACAACCAGGCAGATCCAGAAGGTGGGTGCTCTAAGCAACCAACCGCCCAGGAAGAAGGGCGCCCAGACCACCGGACAAAAGTGGCTTCGAGGACCAGCCACCTGGCTCAAACCCTGATGCCAACAAATGTGCCCCAAACCAAACGAGGGACTGTCATCAACCCTGCAAGGCACTGAGAGCAGCACAGCCCTTCTGTAAGAATAAATCAGCTAGGGCACTGAAGGGTTCAGAAGACATGAACAGCCCACGTGGGGCTTGACAACCTCCTCCTCCTCTTGGCATGTGGGAGTCAGGGAGCCGGGGGTAAGGCAAGGACGCTGAGGTGAACTCTGCGCTAGACGGTGCTGGGTCCATGTGTACCCGTCCTAAAGGGCCAGTGGCCCATAAGATCCAAGAACACTGCTGGAGGCTCCACGTTTCCACACTGAGCCAAATGGTGACCCAAACCTCGCACTCTGGCATCTCGTAAAATCCCATTAGCACTGCACTTCTCACTCAAGTCAGACTTGCCTTACTCAGCGCTAAGTCAAAAGCCCACACAGGATCACACTGCTGCTGAAAGGGAAATAACCCTGGGGCCTGGCGGCATCCCTGCCACTGGCTGTCCCCTCAGACGCAGGACTGGGGATACTTGCAGCCACTCAGCACACACTGCCAGAACTCACTGTGAGGAGTAGTTATCTTAACAAACCCAAAGAGCAGGAATGGTTGATAAGGAAGCAAGTGGCCGTGGCCTTGTAGCCTTTACCTGCATTTTCATGCCATCGAGGCCCAGCCTGTGAGGACGAGAAAAGCCCAGGTCAGGGAGTAGAGGGCAAAGAGCTGAAGTCAGGTGGCCACCCAGAGCCCGGCTCACCCCACTTATGGCAGCAGGCCCACATGACCACCAGAGGGAAGAGGGGCCCCTCGAATGCAGGACTCCCCACCATGGGACACCATGGGACACACCCACCCACCACGGTCGCACTGCAATCCGTGACTGATCAGTTGTCCTGGTCAGTGAGGCCTTCCCTGACGTTCACCAGAACCTGCCCCATCTGCCCACAGGCTTCCAAGTTCTACCTTCCAAAACCACCAGAAGTGCCCACTACATGGCAGATCTTTCAACTCAAAGATAACCCTCACCATCTTCCACAAACTTTGAAATTTCTCGTTCTAGGCATTACTCCAGACCCCAAAGCACCCTTGCCAGGACACTGAGATACAGGATCCTGTCACCTGCCACTGTGCCCAGGGAGGTCCCCACACATGTCTGCCCTTGGCTCTCAGTCACACGTAACAGGAACCTAGTGGCAGTGACCAGCCAGGCCCTTCCCACTACTCACCAGAGGTAATCAGGAATCCTAGAGATGTGCTCCTGGAAGGCGGAGGAGGCTGGCCCATCCACGTACCAGCGCACAAGCATGTTGATGGTTTTCGAGATCTGTGGGAAACATGGCCCTATCAGGACCCTGCTCCAGACCCACAGCAGCTCCCGAGCACAAGGACTATACACTGGGCCCCCAGCACAACCTCACTTTGGGCCAGACAAGGCCTTCCACCCTAAGCGGAGCCCTCGTGGCACACCAGGCCCTGAGAGCCAGAGACCAAGCCAGAGTTGCACCCCCAGAAAGGGAGGCAGGAAAGGCCTGAGGCATGTGCACAGAGAGAAGGCAGGGCATCCCGTGAGAGACAATGCGAGCCGAGCCAGCTGGCGAGCAAGCACAGCCACCATGGGGCCCCTGGTGGGCCCGTGGGATGTGCCGCGTCCTACGTGCCTCAGATAACTGACAGAGAACGGCATGGCCTGAGGAGCACGGGACAGACAGAGACAAGACCTGTGGAGCAGGGACCACTTTAGAATGTTCTAAAGACCCAAACCTCACACTCTGGCATCTCGTAAGATCCCGTTAGCACTGCACTTCTCACTCAAGTCAGACATGCCTTACTCAGCGCTAAGTCAAAAGCCCACACAGGATCACACTGCTGCTGAAAGGGCAATGACTCACGGCTCCAAGCCCCACAGAACACTGGCGAGTAGGGTCGGGAGTGGAGCTGTGTGATATGGCACCAACTGGACTGACCCAGAAAGGCTGCCATCATGGCCCGCCAGGGGCCCAAAACAACACTGTCTTCTGTAGCTGTCACCCCACAGCTGTGAGGCAGCCCCAACCCTGCGCTGCCTGGGATACACCTGCCTCTACAAGTGTGTCCACGCCAGGCCTCTGCCAGGCCCCAGAGCCTCACGATGTAAAGCCAGGTCGGGAGCCCAGAGGCTCAGAGGTGAGAGCTCTGAGTCACCAGGCTCAGCAGGAACCCAGGGCTGGAGCCCAAGCACCCCAGCACTCTAAACCCCACAAGGCAAGGGCAGACAGCAAGTTCTGTGGGGAGATGGTCAACAGAGGAAAAGCATTCCTCCCAACTGGCCAGAAAGATCTTGAGAGGTGGCCCAAGGAGCAGCATTCCAAACACACCAGGTGGTGGGAAGGGAAGGGAGTGCTAAGTGCAGGAGGAACATAGGGGACAGAATGGGGGGTCCTGTCTGCCAGGCTCTGGTGGGAGACCTCACCTCCAGGAAGACCCCCACTCCCAGCTCCAGAGACTGGCCTCAAGAGGGCCTCCCGCCCTAGCTTCTTACCCTACACGGGGTGGGGTACAGACACAGGGCAGTGGGAGCACTGACCGGGCCAATGCTGATGCATTTGGAGAAGCGGTCATCTGCCACGATGTGCTCGTACAGCTTCTGGATGGCCCGCTGCCGTAGGCTGGTGCTGTGGTGGCGCTCATACAGGTTGAGTAGTGCTGCAGGGGTGAAGTCATCAGCACAGGACAGCAGCTGAGCCTTTCCCTACCCTGTCTTCCCCACCGACTCTCCCTGACATCCTAGCGTGCTGCCCTGCCCTGCCCCTAGCGCCTTGTTTCCTGAATGGAAATCCAGCCAAGATGCATCTCAGTGTTGACTGAGGCAGGGTCCCAGCTCCCACCCTGGGGCCCAGCACAGAAGACATGAACAAGGGGATGCGTGAGTGAGGGAACATGACCATTCCACACACTGCACCCCATGCTGTCCCCCAAGCCACCAGGCTTCCTGCAGGGAGATGGGCCTGCACCAGGCCCCACGGAGGCCTGCAACTTCTCCCCTAAGAGAAGGAACGAGCGTGCCCTCCAGGCCTGCAGCTCCCAAACCTCCTGTCCAGGAGCCCCAGCCCCAGGCTTGCTCCAGGGGCAAAGACAGCAGACCCACTGACACGAAGCACACACGGCTGCCCCCCCAGTCACCACAGGGCCCAAATGACAGGTGGTGAGAAAGGGGAGGAGATTCAGCATCACTTGATGTGCCAGCCAAGTCCTGGGAGGCCCGCCAGCCCGTCAGCAAGCACCCACCGTACACCACACGGAGCAGCCAACTGTGCGGTGTGTACAGCTCATCGGGGGCCACGCTGCTCCTGTGTGCCGGCCACTCGATGCTGGCGTAGTCCTCCACGTACAGCTCCTGGGGGCAGCAGCACCTCAGCACCCTCCTCACCCGCTGCCTTCCCAAGCACACACCCTAATGAACATCCTGACCCCGAGCCTCCTCTCAGGACCTGCTTCCCCATGTGGACTCTGCTTCCAGGGCCCTGAGCCCGTCCCACCGCAAAAGCCCCTCTAGGCAGTCACTTAGGATCCGGGAAGGTGGAGGCTCCACCCTCACGACTTGGAACTCAGCTCTGCACAATCCCAGGCAAGCAGGCACGCGCAGTCAGACCCGAGGGTGACCCCCAGCCTGGGGGTCCCTGCCCAGAAGTCCTTACCTGGCGGAGGCTCTGGACCAGCGGGTCCTCCTTAGCGCTCAGCCGGGTGGCATAGCAGTAGCTCATGGGCAGGTAGACCTGTCGGCAGTGGCACCAGAGCGTGGAGGGATGTGCGGGGACCCAGTCAGGAAACAGCCTGCGGAACGGCACGTCAGCGGAAGGGCCCGGCCCCCTCCAGCACCACCCGCGCAGCCCCAGCCCAAGTTGGCATGGCCACCAGCACATTGCAGCCACGCTCCTGTGGGGTGCCGACGGGCACAGTCTTCACGAGTGATAACCACTCCTGGTTCAGCTGCAACACATCTAAAGCCAGGAAACTTGACTTCTAAACTTTTAGGACTGTCTGTGGGTTTCTTAGCTGGGACAAAGGTACCACAGTAATGTAAAATGTTAATAATGGAGAAATAGGGTAAAGGGTCTATGGGAGCAATCTGGACTATCTTTGCAAATTTTCTGGAAATTGAAAACTATTCCAAAATAAAAAGTTGATCTAAAACGCTTCAGAACTGGCACATCTCAAGGACTGAGGCTTTGAGGGTTATCTCCGCCAACACGTTTTTGCCCAGACATTTAGCCTGACCTTAGCATACACAGCTCCACCAGCTTCCCGGGTGGGTGGGTACCTGGGGTTATTTTCCCACTTTCCCTTCAAGCCTCCTGTCCTCATGTGTGAGGGGCACGGGCAGGCCAGTCATGAGCCGGGCAGGTACCCACCACTCCCACCAACTCTGGCCTCAGGCCACTTCCTCACTCTCCAGGGCTCCCCCACTCACTTTAAAGGGCTTATTTTACAGCTTCTCTGCAGCTGCAGTGGCTCAGGATCTCTGGTCCCCTACCCTGCACACTTTCACCCTCTAACCCTTATACTGGGCAGGTCCACGGTGCCCCCGGCAGACCCACACACTCCCCTGGCGCCCACTCAGTGTCTTCCTCTGCCCACTCCTTACACTGGGCAGGTCCACGGTGCCCCCAGCAAGCTGCCAGTGAGGAGCGCAGGGATGGTCCCAGAACACCTCCCTGCCTCCTCCCAAGCAGCCCTCCCACTACTTCACCTCACCACCCTCTGCCCCCGTCACCACCCCTCAAGGCTGCAGAGGTTGGTCCCTCAACCCTGGCGTCAGAACCCTTCATCTAATATGACCTCCACCGAGGTCGTCTAACACAACAGCCCCCCAACCTCCCTGACAGCTCCCTGGAGGGCCACGACATTGCTGACAGGGCTCCAGGGAGCCAGCAGGGGCTCTACCCAAGCCTGACCAGGGGTCTCACCTCCTGAAGGTGACACTGGGGGACTTACATGCATATGAATGTTTTCTGGGGAAATGCCCAAAGTGTTAAGACACTAGTTAGAAGTATCACACAATAAGGAATTAGTGTTGATTCTGCTGAGTATTTAAACAGCATTGTGATTCTATTAACAAGGAAATTCTTCTCTTTTAAAGATACGCACCGTAGTGCCCACAGTTGACGTATGATGTCTGGGATTAACTTTCTCATTCACCAGCAGAAAGATAAAGGAACAGAGAAAAGCACAGCACACCCCAGTGCTGAGGCTGGCAAGAGTTGCACGGCCTACTGCCTTTTTGTTTCTACTTCCACAGAGGCTCCAAACATCCATAATGACAAGACACACCACAGCCTTCTGCAACAATGCCAGAGCTTCACACTCCCCACACCAGCGGTTCTCCCAGCCTGGTGGGGCCCCACTCACCTGCCACATGGCCCAAGCCCACAGTGCCTCCCTTCCTCCTACCCAACTGGGGTCTGCAGGACCTTCCACTGGTCTGCAGGACTCAGCCAAGCAGGGCCTCCACCAGAAGCCTAATGCAGCCTCACACCACAGAATGGACTGCCCACTCATCTGTGCAAGTCACCCAGGGCCCGTCACCCGACTCAGGAAGGCACTGGCAACCCAGCCACAAATCGACCGCAGAAGGGCAAGCATACCACATCTCCGGGAAAAGAGTATTGAGGCCTTCCCAGCTGTAAACGTTCAGGACAGCCAACCAGAACTTCCCCCAGGAAGGGATGACCACAGCACCACCTACAGAAAAGAAAAGTCCCATATCATCTGCCTTACTGTGAAAATTAGCTCCTCAGGAATCATATGTGCCTCTTCTTGCATGAACTGAAGACAGTGCTAAGGATCCTCCAACCCCAGGTGAGAAGTAGGCTCCAGAGCCTAACAGCACAGCTGCTGGGTGGAACCAGCGGCTTCCCCAGAATAAGTGAGACATTCACAGCCTCTACCTGCAGGAAGGAGCACCCAGGACATGCTGTGCAAGGAATACCTTTCTTGTGAAGAATGTTCCGGGCTCGGACCAAGTCAGGATCGTCAGGCCCGACACCCAGAATTCTCAGAGACACATAGTTGAGTGCAGTCCCAAACACCGTGGACTTGTCCTCCACATGCCTTGGGGAGTAGGAGATAGAATAAAAGAATGCCATATTTCGTTACTTCTAAGAAATTAAGCAAGGTTTTCAGCGAAATTTCCTGAGAAAAATAAAAAATGCTAAAATATCTTTCACTGACATAACATGACAACATAAGAAACACCCAGAACTGCCATTTTCCAATAAGAATCCATGTACCTCCCATAACTGATCAGTTCCAAAACTGCCTGTGCAGGACCTGCCTGCCTCCTCTTACTTCCCACACCTGAATCAACATCAGTCCCAGGCTGTGACCCAACTCAGGCTCCTTCATCACGACAGCACACAGAACAAGCTCTAGAGGTGACAAGTTGAGGCCCACAGCCCCCGTGTCAAGGGGCTAACAGAGGCTGGGATGTCCTCCAAGAATTCTGATGGAGAACCCCTCTGGTGTGGATTTAGCTCGCCAGGAGGAACCCCAGCCCTGGGTGTAGAATAAGAGGTACCAGAGCCCATGACCAGGGTGGGCAGGCAGTTGACCCCCCTGAGGGAAGGCCCTGCTCCCAGAGTGAGCTTATGTGTCAGAAAGGCACACTGAGAATTGGGGAGGGGCACCGGGCCCCCCGGGCTCCACCTGCTGCCATCCCAGAGTCAAGAACTTCCTCCTGCCTTAGTGATAACAGCCAGATGGCTCTCTGTGGGGTGTGAGTCATAAAGCCCAGTTACAACACAAGCTGTAAAACCGAGGCCCAGAGTATGCAGCCACCTACCCTGAGAACCCTAGGACACCAGGGTCCAGCTGGCACACAGGACCCAGCCAGGCTCCCTCCTACCACGTTCTCCTCCCACCCACCCCAGGTCCATAGTAGCTCCAGTCACCCTACTCTTGACAGGCGTATCCCCTACACAAGAACATGTGTGCACAAGCATGCACATATGTGCAGTAACAAAACAACTCACAGGCCCCAGCCACCATCCGGGAGCTGCACTGACCGCAGGTACCGCACCATCTCTTCTCTGTATCCCGCTGGCAAAGGGATCTGGGCCACATAGCACGTGATCAGGAGGCCTATGTGGCAGAAAAGATGTTCCTCACTGGGAGCAGGCACTCAGCACAGCTAAGCCCAGGTCCCTTTCCTCCCACCCTACAGGGAGCTGACCCAGTGGTCTCGTTTTTCACGGAAACGAGCCTGAGAAGGCTATTCCTCCCAGCCTCGTCAGGGACTTTGGGAGTGAGGCCCCACGGAACAGCAACAACATGGGGTGTGCAAAGCCCTCCCAGCCACTCTAGGCTCCCACAGTACTGTCCACACCTGCTGGAGAAGAAACACCAAATGGCTCGCCCCTGGATAGGATAAGATTTATGGCTTATGTTTTTCTGTTTTATAGGTTTTTTTCCTAGCAAATATCACTTTGCAAATGGGGGAGATGGCCAACAGCCAATAAATATTGTCCACAAAAAAGAAACTTCCCAGCCTAGCCCTCCTGGATATGTTGCTCACAGGCCATCCTCAACCCCAACCCCCTCCTCCCCCAGCCACATGCCTGTGGTGCCCTGCAAGGGAGGTGAGGGGTGTGTGTGTCTTGGTGTAGGCCCCAGCAAACGCACCATGGATACATGCCTGACTCTGGCTCAGAGGCATCAGAAACCCTGGAAGACACACTCACACAGAGACACACCCTGGAAGAAGGGCAGCTAGGTTTGGAGATGCTGCAGAGGTTCACAGAAAAAAATCATCCCAAATCAAGCCCATCTCTTTTCATTATAGTCATGATGCCGTCAAGACAAAGAAACGCACATGGGCAAGAAACAGAGCCAGCATCTTCCCATTTTAGAGGCAAGAAAACTGAGGCACAGACCCCCAGGTAGTGGGGCAGGGGATGGAGCCCAGGGGTTTGAACAACAGAGTCAGGGCTCACCACAGTGATGCATATATGTGCACATATGACCAAATCCGATTCCCCACATCACATATGAGGCAGCCAAGGCACAGGGAGCTCCTACCACCTTGCCCGGGGTCAGAGCAGGCCAATGCCATGTCACTGCCTTCCCATAAAGACCCATGGGAATAGTCAATGCCACATGAACCACACTCAATGGGGAACTGTCTATACAGAATCATGGCCCCCACGAGCATTTTCCAAATTAAAGCAGGAAAAGGAAGGACCGGTCAAAGTTCAGCCAGCCGTGGAAAAACCCTGTACAGTACCTCTGAACAGACCAGTGTCAACCTGAGGAAGACGGTCTATCCGGAGTTCAAAGCGGGGAAGGAAGAGCCCCAGCCTGCAGCCTGCACTGGGGAGGAAGCCCAGCAGGGGGAGTCCAGAGCTGCCGTAGCAAGCACGGACCGCTGCAGCTGTCCCCGGGGCTGGGCATGTAAGACTTAGCCTGATTCTCATCAGCCCCGTGTCACCAGTGAGGTGCTGGAGGCACAGGGAAGTCCTGTCACCTTGCCCAGAGCAGGCAGATGCAGTGTCACTGCCTCCGTATGAAGATCTCTGGCAACAGTCTCAATAGGCTCCAGGTGCGGCCAAAGGGAAGCAGGAGCCCCTTAAGGGCAGGCCCATAGGTCCCTGAACAAGAAGATACAGTGCTGTACAGCCCAGGGGAGACAAAAGCATGACGGATTCCCAAAGCTCCTCCCACTAAGAGAAAAGAGTCCTTCTACATAAATTCATAGAAGGCAACGTCTCACCTGGCACAGCTGAGTATTTAGTGAAACATTCTCGGAACACGGTGGTTTTAGGTAGCCAAACCAGTTCAGTACCCAGGAGGCCCAAACGCAGTCCTCCTAGGGCTCGCCACCCGAACCTGCAGGTTCCCTGCCAGAGCTCCCTCGGCCACCCCTTCAAGGCAAATTCGCACACGCAGGCTGCCCAAGGGAGACTTAAGGATCCCAGCCGCC